TCAAGTACACTGTACCTGTAAATAATCTAATGCGCTGATAGGTGGTTGATACAACAAGTTTCACATCGTATTGCTTTCATGTTTAAAGAGCTCCAACTTCTGCTAGTGATACATTTTTAAAATAGCAAATTAACAAGCAGAGGTATTCGGGTAATGGGAAATTTTATACTGACTAAAGCACCTGCTTGTACGGCTTATTATTATTATTATCATACTGCTTAATCTTAAGCAGTAATTAATATCCTTGCGATGCTGTTGCGGTCTCACAACCTTGCTTTTGATGTTCCCGATATATAACCAAAATTATGCCGGATAAGCACGATTTCTGCTAAATCATTTCGTCTACCATGTACTCCCTGACATCCCTTGTCTACTAGATAGAAACAGTCAGTTCCGAGAAAATAGTCTGCAACGCATAGTTTAATTTTAGTACGTTTTTTACCATATGGCTCTTTGTATTCATTTTTTGCGCTATGAGATCCCCTATTACACTGAGAGTTTGTTGCGTGCCTTTCGCCACTAAAATTACGCATAGGTTGAAGTTCGTCCAATTGAACATTTCAACTATTTACTCATTCCGACTATCCCATGAATTGGCGAGAATAAAAACACTAAACTACAAAACAGCAATTTGAGTCGGCCTCTATAGGACTTACGAGGGATCAATACAAAGATGTAGGTTAACTTTGGTAGTTGCTACTAAAAACATTTACTATGGATAAATTAGGGGTTGCGGTTACAGTATCAAATGTTACGAGGCGCTTTTTACGACAGTTATGTTGGAATGTTCGTAATTGTTCATCTCGGTTCCTTATAACAAATCAAATAGACATAAAGAATAGAAAATTAACAATTTAGCCCGTTGCAGAGAATGTTTGGCTGACTCGGTCTAGGTATATTTCATTACGGCTCAACGCTTACAGGTAACCCAATGTGTAAAACAACATCCAGGCATGACACCATTGGTAATAACAGTCTGCAGCTTTTGAGGCTCCACACCGAATGGTGATCACAAATATTAATGGTGTCCCATCTCTCCTACAAAATTTCTCTTAAGGCCGTATAGTGTTTCGGTGGTTAGTAAAAGTTGTCGGCGAATGTGTTTTGGATGAAAACCCCGCACAGTGGAATTTATTAACACTCAGCTACAGGACCAGTTTTAGTTTAAAACAACCATAAATGTCAATCGAATGCGCATGTAGAATGCCATCAAATATTTTCTCCACATGAAGAACGCCCGTTATGGGACATACCGCTGACCTTCTTTATTTCCCTGTCTCTGTTATCTGAATTCAAAAAGTGGTTTGTTTATTCATTATTATAGCTATAGTACGTAATACTGTTCAAGTTTGTGGACAACTATATAATGGAACCAAGCGACGTGCATGCATGAAACTTACGGTAAATTAATCCGTAAATGTTTCTTTTCCACTAGCATATTTTAGTTTACATCTTATTGTAAACGCAACTGGCTAATGATATTCCACGATGTGATTGGTACTAAAATTATACTTACCATCGTCGTTAAGTTCTTTGGTAAATGTCCCATCATGTAACTCGAATTCTCTGTAAACTTGTTCCTCTTAGTTTATATTCAATATAAGTGTATTAAGGTCAGTAGCATTACTGGAACTTATATCTTCGAATCGTGGTTGAAAAGCAATATAAGCAGTTACGTAAGGCAACATCCATAACCAAACCATTCTGTGAAATAAAAGTACTGGAGACTAGTTGGAACCTATAATTCAGTTAAGCGGCCAGTGAAATAAAATTCACATTTTAGGCATTTATCTAAGGTTGATTACAGGTCAAAAGTATTATTCGTAAGGCAGCCGATTGTTATCACTCTAACAACATTCAAAACACAAGTAAAATAAAAAAATGTATGCACATTAATTACACCTCCTGCGAAAAACCATAAGCATAAACTAAGTTAACACATTCTGGCTGGGTTGTCTACATTTACTTGACATATCAAATAGGTACTTTGTCGCTTTTGTGCATATTTAGTGTACATGAATTTTCAAATTCGGAAACCTCACTCATGAAAGGAAACGTTACGATGGTTGCTTTGCTTTCAAAAACGCCAATAAACTAACCGAATTGGTCAAGCCTTCTCAGCTTGCATCTTCAAAGCTCCTATTGCAAAATTTACCGACCATTAAGAAGGTCAATCTTGGCCACGAAATTGTTATCTGATCACGCAGTAGAAGCACACCAGGGCGGAACTGCTCACCACAAGTTATTTCAATCTACATAAACTCTTTGTTGACCTTCAGTACCTTGGTGATTTTCAGTTGGCTTGTGACGAATGTTCCATGCAAAGCAGAGCTCTTGCGTGTGTTAAGCATAAAGTTTAACTGTTCGTGTGACTAACAATACCAGCCAATGGAGTGACACTTAACCGACTTAAATTACGTGTGAGACAGTCGGCTAATCGGGGTAGATGACCCCATTTTCTGAATTTCTTCCCCAGTTAGATCGCATGCATGGGACACAAGCCTACTCTGGCTATTTGCTTTAGTTCATTATGGATCATACTGGTAAATCTTTAGAAAATGTTAAGAATCAAAATTATAGTGCTTTTCAAATAACGACACATTTAGCTATTATATCACTTACCTTCAGTCGAGTTGACCCCTGATGCGATCTATTATAGTAGCTACACTACAGATAATATAATTTATTTTGTTCGCAAACATGTTGCTCTCAGAGTTTTGTGAGTTGTAAATATATCTTGTACACTAGGTAACCATTGTGCTATTTAGTTGACTAGCTTTTTGTAAGATACGTCTTGTGTCCAAAAAGTGTTCAGTTCCGAAAACAGGCAACTTGACTTCTACCATTAAACTGAGGTTGACTTACCGCACGCAAAAGTTAAGCTTAGTCAAATGGTAACTATGCTAGTACCATGTGAACGATTCGGACATCTTTCAGTTCAGCAAAACTGATAGTCTCTCATAGTATATGTTTCAGTATGCAAGCTTTTCTCGCATAAGTAGAGCAACATTTGGAGAACAGACGGACATATTACTCTAACATCCGCATAACACGTGTTATTTTTGAACCAACAGCTACGTATTTCAATGCACGATAAAAGTGTTGAAGATAGGTCAGCGTCTAGGTCGCCCCATGCCACGAAAATGAAGTCATTTTGCTTTTCAAATGGTGGTTGCTCAATGTGGTTGAGTAAGATGGTGTATGCCTTAATAAGCGCAAATCCAGCATGAATGTGCTCTCAATTACGCGTTGGTCTTATGTAGCGGATACCAAACTGCTATCCTTAGTTTTCTAATACTCGTTTCTTGCTTTGCCAAAAATCGTGCACCTACATGTAAACCGTTTACACAGCTATTTGGCTCGAATGCCTTATTTCTTCCAAAAAGCTTAAAATGGTGCCTAAGTATTGGGTTTAATAAGCGTTATTTCCTAACTTACAGATTCGTGGTTACCAAACCAAAATTAAGCATTACGTGTAAGCTTCAACACCCCATGGAAATAGATCCAGGTGATCACCAGCAGGTACGTATATATGTATATATATATATATATATATATATATATATATATATATATACGAGTTTGTCACAACAAGCATCCAAGTTGTTAACTTATAGGTTTACTGCTTACTGTCCCATATCTAAATGGTACATGTTGCTGACTGGTTGACGTAAGCACCCAGAGGTCATATGTTTGGCTCCCTGAAGTAGGCCGGAGTAATACGTACTACCGACGGGTCTAAGGAGCACGAAACGATTATCTGTTGCTGTTCAGGACTGGTAGTTATGTTACCTGGCTTGTAAGCTATTTGTGATGATCGCACTTACCCACTAAATTCTTTCTACTCATTAGTAGTACACAACAAACTAGGTTAAGTTGTCCCAGTCTAATGTATTTTGTACACAATGCATTTGGTAACAGCGTAGGCAATAAATAAGTTAAAAATCACCGATTAAGTAAATCTGCATGTTTAAAACATGGTCTGCCGGTTGTTAGAAAATTTTTATTTATGCAGACAACATTTGATTACAAATAAAATGACCGTGTTTCACAGACGTGCAGCTAAGACAGATTAACCAAACGTGCTTAGTATGTCGTGGCTCGTATTAAACGAACCTTCTCGAGAATTAAGTTGATAACTAAGAACACGGACATGACACTGTTGGTGGGAGTTCCACATGGACCATTGGAAAAATGCCATCAAATTCTACTCATTTGCGATGGATTTTAATGATATCATGGTACCTTCGCTATAGACAAGCACTGTCTCGCCGCCGCGGCACAGTTGGCATCAGTGCCTACAAAATGTGGTGCCAAAGCCCCTAGGAGGATTTATCTACAGAGGTTTAAGAAGACATGTTGCCAATGGGAGACAGGTAATTCAACTACATCTCGGCCTACATCCACTAAACTGTGGCATTCATTTAAACAAACAGCTGGGTTTCTGCGCAGGTATTTACAAAATTTTACAATGCAAATGTTTACATACAATATGTTAGTTAACCTAAAACAATGCAATTCACTAATGGAAAATTATACACAAAATGTTTCTGCAACGATTTAATGAGACACGTTTCCAAATACAAAAAGGACTGGGGTAATATATTTTCTGATCTTTTTGTGCATCTGTCTAGAATGTTTAACTCTGTCTACAAATAACAACTGGTTACGTTTGGTATCTTGGACTTCGTGTTCGCAGTCTATCGGAATAAAGTACACAGTTGATGTTACACGTTCAGTTAAGTGCATCAGCGATCTTGTACATTACAAACTGCTAGTAAGGCGAGTTGCGATCAGCGCCATTTAAATTTGGATCAAGTGGTGTAAATTTGCAATCAATTAGTCGGTTTTTGCTATTAGCTGCTACACTTATTTTTATGAAAACAGGCTACAGGTGATTTGTTCCGAATGTAGTGTAACCACTCAAACTCTGTTGAAATTAGGAGCAATGTCAGTTTAATAATAATGCGATTTGGTTGATGCAAAATATTATAACTTACCATCAGTCAGATTGAAAAGGCTACTCTGTTTGCGCAGAAATTCTTGTTGAATCGTCTCGTGAAGACCAAACACGTTCATGGTTTTCAAATAGGATCTGAAACGAATGATAAGCAGCATTGCTGTACTTGCTGTAGAACCCAACAGGCCAATAAATTGACTCTCTTTAAAGTACCAAGTACCAGCCGTCAGAAAAGAAAGGACAGAGATAGCAACATTACTAATAAGTAAGAGAATTTTACTTTAACGTTTTCATCCTAGGTGCTCACAAGCTACATAACACAGTCTAGCCCGGAAAAGCACAAGACAAGTTTCGCCCTATTGGGGCTCGTCAGTGGTGCGCTTTTCCTCGGTCCTCCACTGGGGATCGAACCTATGACCGCTAGGAGTAGGTGCCAACTAGCCAGCAGCTTTAGCCACTGTGCCATGGGGAGGTCAGCTGGGCTACATAATTTGTAAGCTAACTGGGATATAACACCTCCTTTCTTCCACTGCCACGCAGGTTACTACCCTAGCCGATGACAGAGGCTAGCCTCCGGAGGTCATGGCAGTGTATGCCTTGTCAAGGGGTACATTTAAAGTGAAAATATGCCATAAACTTGTAACAGTTTCCTTTACCGAACTTCTTGTTCACGATGTTTAAAAGAGTTTAGGAAAGCAGCTTTTAAAGCTTTTTGTGAAATATAACTTAGAAGAGTTAACTTTTATAAAAGTCTTGAGCAAGAAAACATGTTTCTAGAGGGATTTTATCCATTAGTCCTCCCGGAAGGTTTTAGTGGAAGAATCCAATCATCAAACCAAATACCAAACCATCTCCAACCAAGGTGAAATACAAAAAAAGACATCTTGACTGGCCTTTGCGCAAGTGTAGTCTTTGCCCGTGTTTATGATGGAAATATGACAGCTAAAGGCATGAGTTAAAGTACCTAAACGGGTTAAGTGTAAAGATCGTTTTTATAGCTGGAAATCATCCACTCGTGGATCCGTTTAGGATGTCTTGTGGATATATCTTCAGCTTATTAATTTTGATTAACAAAATAACCTTCTTGTCACAATGCTTGTATTTGGCAGTGGCGGCAAAATCACTTCTAACGATTAAACTTTATGTAACTTGAGAATACAGTTAGTTTGCAAATTATATAGCCCAGCCAACGTCCCCCATGGCTCAGTGGCTTAAGCTGCTGGCTAGTTGGCATCTGCCTCTAGCGGTCATGGGTTCGATCCTCCTTAGAGGACCGAGGGAATGCGCACCACTGACGAGCTCCAATAGGGCGAAACGCGTCTGGCGCTTTTCCGGACTAGGCTCTGCTATGTAGCTTGTGAAGTATTGGGATGAAAGCCTTATCATAATTACAACCAAAATCCTGCTACACGTAACTACTATGGAATACTGGTGTTGTTGGAAGTCCTAACTATTGAACTCAAGTCAACCACAAATATCCAATCGTTGAAATGTGTTAATCCGCTGGAGCCCAACTGGATTCCTAACTCAGTGGTACCTTTAAGTTTTGGTATAAAATTGTCCAGGGAATTAGTGTCAGTATTTAATTGGGAATGCATTGCTTCTTACGTGGTTTACTTCGGAATCAGCCATAGAGGAACACAGCAGTGTCTAGAACGAACGGATTTAAGTTATTTTGTAACGTGGGCTTCCAACATTTACAGCTCTGATATGCGAACCTGGTTTCCACTTTATGCTGATTAGCAGGGTCTAGTTCCTTTGGCAAATACGATGCAAACAAAATTTACTTCAGTACCTCTGTGAAGACCTGAATAAATAGACTTAACTCAACTGCGTAAAAAGGATTTAATTGACTAACGCGGTTTTAGTTAACTATAATTTAACACCTGAGTAGTGAAGTCACTTCTACCTCTCTTTTATTTTTGAGGTCGGGCATAAGTATTAACTCCTAAATATGGCTTGATAATTTGCATACATTGATTAAAGTCAGATAATAAGCACTAAAGCAGGAATTTAAGAGCCGTGGATGTAAATATGGATCTATGTTTTAACATACAAAGTTAAAATAAATTACTTTTGCCTTTTATCAGATGCGTCGTATTAAATTTAATGACTACGCTTTCACGCAGAGGACATCTCTTTTTTCTGAGAATAATCGCTGCATGATCTAGTCAAAGTGCTCAAAAAAGCCAACTATTATGCAAAATAGCTGAATCTTATTTTTGACGGAGCTCCAATAATCTAATATGTCATTCTATGACGCAATTAAAATGGGTTCAATAGGAAAAAGCATCGAGACAAAAAATGAAAAATGCATACTTCAGTTGATCGTAACAAGTTTTGTCCGATTCTTTGTCTCGTCTAAAAAGGAAGTTCAGCAAATTTGAGAAGATTATTGCCCAGCAGTCATCACATTTATGATCCTTCGATGCAATGAAGCAAGGGGTATATTTGTATTAGTATACAAACGGGCAAACAACTAGCTCACAGCGACCAAGAACTGTGCTGTTATGGAACCAGCAACTTTCCTTATTGACTCTTCAAACCACAGCGTTCATGTAAATATGTGCAAATGGAGAAGGAAGTGAAGGAATTTCCTATTATAAGTCATTCTTCTTACATTTGAAGAACCAGTGACGAGAATCGGTGCATACGCATTTTTGGAATTTTGTTAGCTAGTACTCTCATTACTCTCAGAACAGCAGCCCCTTCGTCCGTGGCGATAATGAGCATATTTGTTAGTGACACGGCCGAAACGCACAGTTGGTCCCATCCTGTTCAATACGCTCATCTAATGGAAAAATTGACCCTCAGAATCAATTCAGTAAACCCATTGTGCACTAACCTGCACGATAAAATCCGTGTCCGTGTAGCTCTTCAACATCTGACAGAGTTGTCTAACTCAACGCTCTCGTATTTGCTCAATAAAAGCGCTCCGCAGGACTACAACCTACACAATGCTTAGGCCACTGCTCCGCGGTAGCAATCTACACTTAAGAGCAGTGAGCTAACATGTTGATATGCGCTATCAGCAGGTTATCGCTGAGTTGACAAGTGTTAAAGGCCAGCATTTACACGCCTTGTGCGTATAATCTTGGATTAGCTTTTCCCGGACCTCTGATAAACTCTCGGCCAGACGTCCATCTCAACGCATATTGAATTCCAGCAGAATAAAAGCAACAGTTCATTCACATAACAAGCACCATAAAATAAACCGTTGATTGCAACCAAGCAATTTAAATGAGTGTCCAGTTTTCTGAGTTATCTCACCCGGTGCAGCAATCAAGTTTGTTGGCCCTTATCTGCATCTAAATGTGTTCCATCAAGTTATTTAGCTTAAAAATCCTAGTACCGCCCCCGTTCACCCACTGAAATCAACACTTCAAATGATATTTGTCTAGTATTCTCGACCAACTGGGGTAATGGCATCATCTAAGGCCGAAAGTGCTCAAACAGCGTGTATGCAAATCCATCAAAGTAAGTAACGCAATACAACCGGTTTCCAGGTTTCCTCGATGAGTTAAAACTTACTTTACTTACCAAATGTTTAACTACTGAGCCACCGTCTATTTCAACAAATTTAGGTCATTGGCTCTGTGTTTATTTTGAAGGAGATAAAGCACCGGAAAGCGCCGCGTTAAGTAGGAGGCTTTGATAACTGTTTACATGGAATGAAACCGAACGTTTTCGATGGAAAGAACAGACAATTATAGCAAACACACAAAATAATAGATGGTTTGCATGCTGTTTGCGTGCAGAAAATCGGATACCTTCGATCACACCCAATTCTAGGCAGCTTGCGCATGCACCGTTTTTTGTGAAACTACCCGAATATGCTGAGTTATTTCAAGTGTAATATGAATGGTAGCCGAGTACACTAATGGCAATACCCGTGGGTAAGTTGTGCAATTGATTTAGATTAAGAATTGGATTTTTATTGGAGTACCGAATTGTATGTGCTTAGGACGTGCATTTAGTCGTGCCGAACTTTAGTGTACGTCTAGTTGGACGTAAAGTACCAGCGGAGGACATGCGATAATGCTGCACCTGGTGCATTCGTTTGCACTAATTCCTTGAGACAAAGTCTAGCTGCTATTTGGGGAGATGGCCACATCTAAGCAATCTACTATTCCAGTTGTGTTGCATAGATTGGATCAACGGCATCTTTATATTGCCATGTTTATATTGCCCGCATCTCTGCAATTGGCTGGTTATTTCTTCTTCCCAACTGCAATTGTTGACTGCGCGTCTACTCGCCAGACTTTCGACAAAATCTTATTTGCATCCCAAAATAATAAACGTTTCATGAGTAAATGGCTACCATAAAACGCTCGGAATCCTAGCGATAGCCCTCTTCATAAATGAGGCATATCTCGAAGCAGCACACACCTATGTGTGAAATATGAGCTGTTCTTTTGGAAATTATAATGTTGGCTCTTATGTCTGCATATTGTGTGCATCTGTCCTATCGGATGCAAGCAAACATAACCAGATTACAAAGAGTTCCAGGTGGTAGCTTCATTTCGGAGGATAGTGTTACCTTCAATGGAACAGCGATAATATACCGGTAAAACGGCTCAGGTCTGCCAAGTGCCATGGGATTGTCTGCGTGAAATACCTACGTACAAAAAGGAAAAGAAGATGCCAGCAGCGCAAACTGCGCAATTGTGCACTCACTAGGATATCCACATTAGCTTACATGCAAATCCGTCTACTCTGATTTTAGTGGGAAGATAAACACAATGCTTGTGTTTTGCCGTCAACAGATGTGCAGGATTCGTATCAAACAAATCACATTTTGCAATACAACGCCTTTGGTTGTACGCTGTAAATGTGTGTCGGTCATAACAACGGCATCCAAAACGTATACTGTAATATACTATTTATCTTAGCACGCTAAGACGACTGAACCAAGCTGCGTGACGCAGTGCCTTGGCCTGATATGTTTTATTACTCAGTTGACCACCTACTGGCTCAAACCTCCTTGGCACTTCGTTGTAGACTGCATCCAGCCCCACCACTTGCTTTTATTGCGTACGCTGTAACCTTTCGCTTCTCCCAACAAGCAACGATGACTGAATTACACCAGGGGACGCAGCGGCTTAACTTCCTACCTGTTCTTGCTCATGTATCCACTTACTTGCCTCAACCCAGTTAACTCTACCATAAACCGGCGTTCACCACAATCACCAGCTTTCCATCACTCTGTTCGCATTAGCTCTCACATCTTAGCAAGCTAGGGCAACTGCTTAACCCTGCACGACACAGTGATTTAGTCTCGTATCCACTGGTGTTCACATAGGTTTTACATTATTGTATGCCTATTCAGTTTGCTCTAAACGGGCATCCAGCCTTACGTCTTGCATGCCATCGCTCAGCCTGCGTTAATTAGTTTCCACTTAAGAGCTGGGACGACTTAATCATCTTGCGCGACGCAGCGATTTAGCTACGTATATACAGACATACAAGTACCCTTTATAAGCTGCAACGTCTTCCACTCCAAGCTGGTATCGGGTGTCCTGCCCCAACTGGTATCCTTTCGCATTTCCCGCTGCTTCTTCTTTCGTAAGAATTCATATATAAACGTTGTGGAAACAAACTTACATAGTGCACAATGTTTCAACCCTTAATCTTTTGTTGCGTATTATGCACCTTTTCTTGAGCGTTTCTACCTCGTTCCCGTCTGGCTGTCTATCCAGCTGCCTGTCGTTCGACACCCGATGGAAATTACAATAACGACCGATGGTTCTTAACCAGCGATTTTGATCTTCACTTCTATGAGTATTGCGATCCCTTCAACCGAAATCGGATACAAATTCAACGTAGTGCAAGGAGGTCCGACGCTATGGAATATGACAAACGGCCGAAATGGACGACAGATGACTGTGGATAGGTGCTCAAACAATCACTTCGACTTCAAACTATTCCAAATTATTGATACTCATCTTGAGTCATTGATCCAACGTTTGCTTGTGATAAATAACTAAATCATTATTTGTGTCTATCGACATCATCGCATTTGTAAAACAATTTGCTAGTTCAACATGGAAACGCTTAACACAACCACGTCCCACGCCTTGCATCTCATGAATCTACATACTTATAAAGGCAAAATTAATATTTGATCAAACAGCAATTATCACATATCTGCTTGTACAATACTGATCATGCCCTCTTTGGTGCGCCTCTTGTAACATCTAGAATATCCATGTTATTTTCTTGTTATTTTACATCACTCAATCGTCTGTTAAGGAAAAGGACGTGGTTGTAGTTATGGCATAAGTCAGGATAGCGTCACATTGCTGACACTTTTGGAGGGAGAAATTACGGTGGCCTGTTAGCGCTGTGTCCTGAGGTGGTGTCAAATAAGACGGGGGCTTCATAAGATCTGATAGGTCGAGAAAGGTTTGCTATGTGTACAAAAAGGAACTCGATTGTACGTATATATGACTGTCAAACGGTCTTATTCCTTCGGGTGTACACTGGATATGGGGTGTGTGGTTGGAGCTGTGGGTGGTGCAGCGCAAGCCATCCATGGTCCCTCTGTGGGCGCAGGCGTCCTGTGTCTGGCCACAGTGACAGGCAAATCCGAAACCGGATGCCGCCAACCATACGTAGCAAGAAGTTTGCTTTGATGTTATGCACTAGGCCGCTAAGAAAATCGAAGAAGAGAAACGACCGCAAAAGCGATCATTGCATTATCTCAAATACAAGCTCTACGAGCTCAGACATCGAGCATAGGACCCGCACCAGCACCATCTGCTGAAGAATAAAATTTTCCATTCATCAAATCAAAGGGTTCCCAATTCGGCAAATTCGCAGGTTCTGGAGACAGGTGCAGTTGGCTAAACTACCGAAGGCTTTGGAAAAGCCACGATAGAAAGCGTCGGTTCCGTCTGAAATATCTGCTGTTTAGCTCCAAATGCAACAAATAGTTATCAGCCTGTTTGTTCATAGCCGGTGTTGATGGGAGCCATGCTGCTGCGGTGCTGCGATCTTGCATCTTTCTAACTTGTCCATTAATGTCATAACGGTGATCGACTCCATCACCTCTAAAAGGATTTAAAGGATGAACACTGGGCGGTATTTGGTGGGTTCCAAACGGCTACCACCTTTAAGAATGGGATCGTGGAATGTACCCTTTGTCCACGCAAGCATCCTCGAAATAGTCGTGATAATAAATCAGTTACTTTCGTAGCCGCCACTTCCAGCGCTTCCAGTTACATATTGTCAACTCTGTGAGAAATACTGGGAGGAAACATAACAGCTTTTCCAAAACTATTAGTGAACAAACGGTAACATGATAAACCTTTACTTCCGGTTGATTGAGACAATGGTATACCACATGCTGATTACGCGTC